ATCTGCAAATATTTAAGTATATCTGCAAATATTTAAGTATATCTTTTCATGGGACAACACTGACAGTGATCTAAAAATGTTATTATTTTTAGAAGAATCAACTAGAAGTGGAACACAATCGTGAAGTGGAACAAAAATTATTGGATATTTTAAACTTTTTTAACAAATAAAAAACTGCAAAGGGAGGCGTGCAATATTATTTGGCCATATTGCATTAATACTTTGTAGCACCACCTTTTGATGCAATTACAGCTGCAAGTCGCTTGGGATTTGTGTCTATCAGTTTTGCACATGGAGAGACTGAAATTCTTGTCCATTCTTCCTTGCCAAACAGCTGGAGCTCAGTGAGGTTGAACGGAGAGCTCTTGTGAAAGGCAGTTTTCAGCTTTTTCCACAAATCCTTGATTGGATTCAGGTCTGGACTTTGACTTGGCCATTCTAGCATGTGGATACGTTTATTTGTGAACCATTCCGTTGTAGATTTTGCTTTATGTTTGGGATCATTGTCTTGATGGAAGATAAATCTCAGTCCCAGTCTCAGGTCTTTTGCAGACTCCAACAGGTTTTCTTCCAGAATGGTCCTGTATTTGGCTCCGTCCATCTTCCCTGTCCCTGCTGAAGAAAAGCAGGCCCAAACCATGATGCTGCCACCACCATGTTTGACAGTGGGGATGGAGTGTTCAGGGTGATGAGCTGTGTTGCTTTTGCGCCAAAAGTTTGATTTTGGTTTTATCTGACCAGAGCTCCTTCTTCCATGTTTGCTGTGTCATTCAGATATCCTCACTGAACTTCTTTCGTGAGTTTGCTGCACTGACAGTAAGGGGGCCGAATAATATTGCACGCCCCACTTTGCAGGTTTTTATTTGTTAAAAAAGTTTAAAATATCCAATAAATTTTGTTCGACCTCACGATTGTGTCTCACTTGTTGTTGACAAAATAATAAGCATTTTAGATCTTTATGTGTGAAGCCTGTGAGAGACTGGCGACATGTCCAGGGTGACCGCCTCTCACCCGGAACGTTAGTTGGAGAAATAATAAAATAATAAAAAAAGCACCAGCAGCCCTCCTGACCACACTAAGGGACAAGGGTGTACAAAAAATGAATGAATGAATGAATGAATGAATGAATGGATGGATGGATGGATGGATGGATGGATGGATGGATGGATGGATGGATGGATAGATGGATAGATGGATGGATGGATGGATGGACGTTTGAAGCCTGAAAAGTGGCCATAGGTTGAAAAGTTCAAGGGGTCAAATACTTTGACAAGGCACTGTAACTTTAAAGGTCTCAAAAGTTGTGCAATTGTATACAGACTTTGGTCTCGGAAAGAAACCTAAATTCACTCAAAATAGTGTCCTTCATATTTAGATGCGTCTATTCTTGGGATGCTGTGGTGGCACAGGGGTAGAGCACAACCCACGTGACGAGGCCTTAGTCCTCGGCACGGCTGTCGTAGGTTCGAGTCCTGGCCTGGTGACCTGTGCCGCATGTCTTCCCCCTCTCTATTTGCCCACTTTCTTGTCTGACCACTTTCACATAAAGGCCTCTAGAGCCAATAAAACCTTTAAAAAAAAAGAAAAGACGTGTCTCTGCTCCAGCATACCTCATGCAAATGATTATATTACCCCTTCAGATTGCCCTGAGTGCAGCAAAAGCATGTTAATTGTCCTTCCATTTAAGTTAGGTACGTCTCAACAGGATAACACTTAGCCTGGCCAATGCCTTCCCTCGATTCTTTTCTCCCTCTGTCTGATCTTTCTCCCATGGAGAGAAAACCTGTCTGGGAATTTCTCCAGCAGAATTTACTGGTGAAATTCTACCAATTTCTCCGGTAGAAATTGGTAGAATATCAACCAGGCCAATCACAGAACAGAAGAAAAAGCTATGAATGAAGACCTCCATTTTCTATGCCGTTTAAGAATTGTACTTTGCCTCTAGATTGATAATGGGAAACTATTACCAAACTAGCAAGTGAATAAAACTATTCGTGCCTCCAAATACTGAATTTATATTAAACCGCCATCTTATTCAGCTTGGCAATTATCTTTTTATTGTTGTTTGGTTGTTTAAATGCAGACATTCCAAATAAAATTTTAGAGCTCAACAGAGTCCACACCTCCAGCATCCAATAGTTTATCAATAGCTGAGGGTCCAGATTCTCTGTATGAAGCAAGGGTCCTTTAGCAAGCATGCAAAAACCTAGAAAAACAGGACAGAAGGTCCTGGGGGGCCAAGATTGAGAACCAATGACTAAAAAAACCATCTTCACAAAAAAAAAAAAAAAAAAAAAGCGTAGTATATCTTATGAAACTAATTCAACAATTAAAATTTTTACTTAGGGCCCTGGAGTGGTCTGGGCTTCTGATTCCCTTCATCCTCAGTCTCTGCAGGAGCAATGGTGATGTCAGTTGCCTCACAAGGTACACAGAGAGAGAATAAGTCTAAAAAATAAAAAACAACCAAAAATATTATTCTTTAAACTGTAATGTCCTGTTGAAGGAGTAACAGTGAAGGTAAGGTAATTTTTATTTATATAGCACATTTTCTTCAACAAGGTAATTCAAAGAGCTTTACAGGAGTTAAAAGGAAACACAAACAAAATAACAAACCAAAAGAAAGAGCAAAAGAAGAAAAATAATCTAATGTTGATCTAAAGTATGTAAACTAGGTGCTCCTGTTCAGGAATTGTGTTATTTTTTAAATGTTCGCAGAATACTAGGAGTATAAAGAATGAAGTACTGACATTGACAAAAACAAAAGTAGAAATATATTTGTACATTCATATATACACATAAACATCTCCCCTCCCAACATATATGCATTCACACCTTACATGCCCACCCCAAAGCATACTGTGCACCATTCCACAGGGCTTCAGTTGCATAAAAGAATTTATCTTCCTCAATGCACATATGCTCCTTGCTAATTCATACTGCTCTCCGTTTTACTTATTTTATATTGTATATATTATTGTGTATGTTCAATGTGCCCCTGTGGGGATAAAGTTTGACTTTAACTAAATTGAATAAATTGCCCAATAAATAAATCAATACACTTAAAATACACAATTTAAAAGAAGAAATTTAGCTAGTTGTATAATTTAAGTGACACTGTTTTTTATTTTTCCATCTAAATCCCCAAAAATTTTATTTTTAGGCAAGTAATTTAAATTTTTACTGTACAAAAACACAAAAAAATTATTTATTGTATCACTGTCTCTTGGAAAAAAACAAAGGTAAGATTTATGTATAAATGTTCTTTGCTCTTTTGTAAAATACAATAATTTCCACATAAATTTCTATTTTTGTCAGTCTGATGACCTCATTTGTAAATATTAAATCAGGTGGTATGATCAAAGTTTTACTCTTTATTTGATCAGTCAACCAGCCCCCACATTATCAAAATAAAACAAAATGAGTTACAGTCATCCCTCGCTATAACGTGGTTCACCTTTCGCGGTCTCGCTACTTCACGGATCTTTTTGTGCAGTTTTTTTTCCACAGTGCATTGTGTTCTGTGTCCTGATTGGCTAAACAGTCTCTGCGGTTCTTCTCTACCTATGTGCCAGTAATGTTACGGTATTTAAATATAACTAATACAGATCGGCCATTCAGGAGATGAAAACTGAAACTTTGAATGCCTGCTGAAAAAAACTGGCCAGAATCAGCGCAAAACCCGACCGGAGGCTCGCTTCATGAGATCCATCACTCTGCCGTAGATACAGTTATGAATCTCTTGGGGCAGCTTGGAGGAGACGATTTAATGACATGACATGGAACATGCTTTGATATCAAGTCTATAATTAATGTTATGAGCTATTTCTGTTATTGTAGTAGCTGTACCAGAAATTAAAATGAAGAAGAAACTTGAACGAAACAAGGGTGGTATGATTTTCTGTGATTGTATATCTGTGTATGTCAAATACTTACATGGTAAGTAATTATTTATGTTTGTTCTTTTAATTTGCACATAGTTACTCCAGTTAATTATAATTGTGTATGTCTGTCAATGATAAGCATGTATGTTTGCACATAAAGTAATATGGATGTTTTAATTTAAGTAATTCTCTGTGTGTTTATAACATATCCACATTGGTATGTCTGTTTTTGATCTACATACGTCTGCTATGACATTTGATTACTCTTCCCCAGGGATCAGAAGAAGGGGACACACGTTTGACATGATGGTGGATGATGAAAAGAAGTTCCGTTGTTTATGAGTGACACCAGAACTTCAGAGTGGATCTCCTTCAGCAGGAAGCAGCCACCTGGGCTGGCATCATCAGAGAGATGGCAGACCTCCACAGAGAAGAGTTGAGGAAAAAAATCAGGATAAAAATAAATGCTGTTGTGCTCTCAAACATAGTGATCTTTTCTTATACCAACCCCACACATTGTACATATGTTGTATGTTGTAGTGTGCATGGTGTCGTGGCATACATAAAATCCACTTAATTCCACTCGCTGTGTTTGGAGGACGAAGAATGAGGAGTATTATCCCAAAAACACCACCCCTGCTGCGAAGCATGGGGGTGGAAGCTTCGTGCTTTGGAGGTGTTTTTCTGCAGATGGGGCAGGACGACTGCACTATATTAAGGAGAGGAAAACCAGGGCCATGTATTGCGAGATTTTAAGGAAGAACCTCCTTCCCTTTCTTAGGATCATTGATACTCTACGAGGTGAGATCTTGCATGGAGGCCTAGTCAGAGGTAGATTGACAATCACATTTAGCTTCTTCCATTTTCCAATAATTGCTCCAACAGATCTTTTTTCGCCAGGCTGCTTGGCAATTGCCCCGTAGCCCTTTCCATGGACAGGAGTCTTTATGTAGCTAACAACCTCAAACAGGTGTTTCTAATTTAGAATAATAAGTGGGCTGAAGATGGACTTTTTAGAGGCGGACTAAAAAGTGGGCCAGAGTTTTTGCTGATTGGCAGGTGTTCAAATACTTATTCGCAGCAGTAACACACAAATCAATTATTAACACAATCATACACTGTGATTTCAAAATTTTGTTTAACTGTTGCTAATATGGCTTGTCTATGTTTTAAGGAGCATTTATTTTATATTTATTTTTTAATCTTATTCTTCATGTTACTTTTAACTCCATAAGGTTTGAAGTTAAAAGCGATTTTATAACGCTTTGAATTTGACTTGGAGACTTGATTTGAAATGAGCTTTGACCCTTTGATCTCTGTAATTTCTTTAAATTAAAACTTCTGATCTACAGATCAATAGATATAAATAGATTATAAATATGATGCATATAAATTGCTGTACTAAAATATATTTTCCTCATTTGTGACTGTTCGGTTAAATGTCACTTCAAACTATAGTTGGAAAAAAAGTAAGCAATGACAATTTGTCAGATAACTGAAAATGTGCTTAATCGCGGTAGATCGTAAAATACATCATTAGAGTGATATAAAATAGTCCATATTCTGAGATACATGATTTTTTTTCAGAATTGTTAAAAGATCATGAAAACACACAGGAAGACAAAGAAAAACTAATAGCAATGGCCTTTTGTGGAGTACTGACTGCAATTTCTGTAGGGAAGTCTGAATGTGTGGTCGGAGACAGAAGTGGTGCAGCTGTGATGTGATGTGCTTCAGCGACACACGTCTTTCATAAGTCCATAATCAAGCTTCAAAGCTTTGAGGCAGATTAGTTTTCCTCGAGGAATTTCGATAATCGAGGTACTCGAATCATTCGAGGAATTGTTTCAGCCCCAACAGTAGGTACCGTATTTTCTGGACTATAAGGCACACCAGATTATAAGGCGCACTCTCAATTATGGCGTCCATTTCTGTATTTAGCCCATACATAAGGCGCATCGGATTATAAGATGCATGTTAAAACATACAGTCAACCAAAAAAAGGTAACGGAAACAAACCATTAAGTTAAATTGAACTTCATTCTACTATGTAAGAATACACGTTATTTTTTATTCTTCTTCCACAAATCCATCAAAGTCCTCCTCTTCTGTGTCTGAATTGAACAGCTGGGCAATTTCGCCATCAAACATGCCAGGTTCCCTCTCATCATTCTTGGAGTCAGACTCGTTGCCAGGTGGCTGTTCAGCAGATACATTAGCCCAGGGATCCACAATCCATTCATACATGGTGGCGTAACTCGCCCGGCGCTGCCTCCCCGTCTTAGTAAACGTGTGTTCGCAGTCTGTCATCCATCACTCCCACGCCGCTCGCAACTTTTTTTTGAACGCCCCATTTACACCAATGTCCAGCAGTGGGAGTTCTTTTGTTAATCCTCCCGGAATGACGGCAAACTCCGAATTAGTTTGGTTTACTTCCTTTTTCACAGTAGCAGTGAAAAAGTAGCAGACGAACAGGGACAGCGATGCGTTTAAAAACCTATCTGGTTTTTACCGGAGGCGTATGCTGCAGAACTCGGAAAACAATTCTCTGATTGGTTTATCGCTGCTAGTGTATGTACTGTACACTTTACGTCTCTGTGTCAGGGACAGATTTTGGAATTCAGTGCACACAGAAGGCGCACTGCTGATTTTTGAGAAAATTTAAGGCTTTTAGGTGTGCCTTATAGTCCAGAAAATACGGTACTCAAAAGTACTTCACAATATCATTTAAATCTGTAGTCTAAGGGTTAGGGTTAAAAGAAATCTAGATCAGGCATTGGTGACAATGTGCTGACCCTAAAGAGCAGGTTTATTTTAGTTGGGGTACATCTTTCACTGCGAAGCAGTGAAACACTGCGAAGGCCTAATGGAATCGCAGGACTTCTCATTATTTTTCCGTCAAATGGTTGTTTGGAGCCTTTAACATATTCAAAAACTCACCAAAATGTACCCAAAGATGTACCCCAACTAAAATTTTTGAATTCTTGTGGAATCACAAGTGGGCGTGGCCAAACTGCTTTACAGCGCCCCCTAACGTGAGATAGAACAACCCATAGGTCGTAGAGAACTTAAACTCGGTACGAAAGTAGGTCCCCTCAAATCATGACAAAAAGTCTCTTAGAGGTACCCCCTAAAATGCACAGGGAGGCAGCCATTTTGGATCAAAGGGCACATTTTGGCCATTTTTCACTTTTACTCACTCTGAACTTTAACAAACTCATCCTAGGGATTTTGTTCCATCGGTTTCATTCTTGGTCAAAATGCAGTTAAGGCGTGGGGCTTTAAAAGTTATCAAAAAAATTCAGTTTTTGTATATGTTCAGGGTGCGTGGGGAAGCGGCGAACTTGGAGTACTCACCAAAGCAAACAAAATGGTTTAACTTTCAAATAAAAAGGTCAATTGGCACCAAACTTGGCATGAATGATCCTGGTTGGATGCCTGACGATCCAATCAACCATCTCTGACCCCCTTGACCTA